TGTCTGAGTGTATAACAGAGCTCCACAGCAATAATACTCCCAGTAATGTGTCTGAGTGTATAACAGAGCTCCACAGCAATAATACTCCCAGTAATGTGTCTGCGTGTATAACAGAGCTCCACAACAATAATACTCCCAGTAATGTGTCTGAGTGTATAACAGAGCTCCACAGCAATAATACTCCCAGTAATGTGTCTGAGTGTATAACAGAGCTCCACAGCAATAATACTCCCAGTAATGTGTCTGAGTGTATATCAGAGCTCCACAACAATAATACTCCCAGTAATGTGTTTGAGTGTATAACAGAGTTCCACAGCAATAATACTCCCAGTAATGTGTCTGAGTGTATAACAGAGCTCCACAGCAATAATACTCCCAGTAATGTGTCTGAGTGTATAACAGAGCTCCACAGCAATAATACTCCCAGTAATGTGTCTGAGTGTATAACAGAGCCCACAGCAATAATACTCCTAGTAATGTGTCTGAGTGTATAACAGAGCTCCACAGCAATAATACTCCCAGTAATGTGTCTGAGTGTATAACAGAGCTCCACAGCAATAATACTCCCAGTAATGTGTCTGAGTGTATAACAGAGCTCCACAGTAATAATACTCCCAGTAATGTGTCTTTAAACTACAATAACTGTGTTTAGAAATCAGTCTGTGTAAATAAGACACATTGTTCTTGTACACCCCTGCCCACACACTCACTCACACCCCTAAATTAAATTGCTTCTGTTTGTCCATTTGAAATGTTGGTAGATATATGGGCTGTACTTAAAGGAACACAGAAGCGTTGCAAATACAAATGAGTATTCCTAACACTATAGTGCCCCGTGAGCAGTTTAGATCTCCGGCCATCCATGTCCAAAAGAAAAAAAGTTCTGTTACTTTCCTTTTCACCCTCGCAGCATTGTCCCGCCTCCAAGGCTGGGATTATAAAGACTGATAATCTCAGCCAATCCAATGCTTCCCCTAGGAAAGCAATGGGAGGCTAGTATGCAGCGCTGCACCAATCAGATGGTGTCTATGAGACAATCTGTTAGAAGTAGCTGGGTTATACTTGACTATTTCAGAGGGAGTGTGACAGCCGCTAGAGGCATTTAGACTCTGCAATGTAACCATTGCTGTTCTGGCAGAATGACAATGTTTTATGTTAAAGTACTAAACAGATGCGGACATGGCACTCGGACCACCTCATTGAGATGAAGTGGTCTAGGTGCCGATAGTGTCCCTTTAAGAAAGTCTGCTCTGCAAGATGTGTCAGAATTTTTTTCATTCTGGATGCTCTGGCTTTAAATTAGCATTTCACTGTGAATTCTCATCTTAGTAAAAATCCCTTATGACAGAGCTCCTATACTCTGATTTAGTATCTCCACCAGGTAGCCCTAGCTAGAGTGATTATAGCTCAGTCCCCAAGCATGAGCCATGACTGTTTTGTACCAAGTCCCACTCTCAAATAATGGCTTCCATGAATCGAATAGAAGGGAGTGCCCACTGGGGCGGGGCCTAACTGTCATGCCACATGCAACTGTCACATCATGGTTGGATGTGTCTTGTGGGAGCTCCAACTCATGGCCTCTTAAACCGAGCAATACTCCAGCAACCAAACCCCACTGACAGCGCTACTTACCCTTGCGGTACTCCTGCATCAAGTGGGGTTACTCCTGAAAGTCCCTTTCCAGTCTTAAGATGGCAAAGCTGACAGTGGCTGTGTGTTGGACCGAAGGTTTGCGGAAGTCGAGAGGTGGCCGATCTCCGCTCCGGTATCGTGCGGCAGTTTGATGCCCCGTCCCCCCCCTTTGGACCGCCGGTGGTGGTCCTGGTCTACCTCTTGGAGGATTCTGACCTGTGCTAAAGGCGCACAGAAAACTTCAGTGACAGATGTGTTCTGTAGGCACGCAAAATGGCGGATGCCACGTGCTCCCTAGATCACGATGAAGGACACAGTGATGTCCTGAAACGCCTGGACCAAATCTTTTAAAAATCTTTGAGACCCGAGACACCACACAAATCGATTGATGCCAGGGGCCCACAAGTAGGGACCTTGCAGAAGACGGATGAGGTCTCACATGAGCGGGTCCAGGAGACGCAACGACACTGTCGGAAACCCATCTTGGAACTGGTAGATTGTGACTCGTCTGGAATACGCAGGATGATCAACCCGTACCTTACACTACACTTGGTCTTGAAACAGTGCAGCAGAACCTGGAAGACCCCAATAAGTCAGCTCTACTCCTATACCATCTACCTACCCTCAAGGGAACTCCAAAGTCCAACACCAGGGCACCCGAGGCAAAACACTGTGCGGCCTCGGAAGGGCATAGGCTAAACTCCTTACTGAGCTATGGAACTCTACATCCCTGGCATATTGTTCCAGCATCACACTCAATTTCATCACACACCATATTTCTTAGATGTGGGACTCACAACAGGCTTACCTGCTGGGCCTCCTGGAGGTTCTCTTACTATTAGTTCATAAATGTGTATTCAGCTTACTCATTTATTTGTTTACGATTATATTATAGATGCACTGTATTTTTCGTGTCTCTCTTTTATTTTTTAAAATGTGCAGCATTTCCAACATGTCTTATTGCATTACATACTTTGCTTGCTTTATATGACCTAGCCTACATGTCATTTTATGCATGTATAATAATTTCTGCACACTAAAAATAAAGAATTATAAAAAAAATTAAAAAAGAAGGGAGCTCCCACAAGTCCTGGATGCCTCATCACCTCCCTGACCTCCCCTCCATATAGCACTCAGGATGGTGGTCCTTTGACCAAGTGATACCCACTTGAAGTTTAAACGGATCACAGCATCCTTCCTATCCCTTGTACAGTTCCATGAGGTTTCTGGGTACCTTCCAGTCAACCACTTTGTGCCCCATTCAGTCTAAGAAGACAGTCCATGGAAGCTAGCTGGGCCTTATGTCCTCTAGGGCAATACACAGCACGGAGGGGAAACATGGTGTTGAAAGTTCACTTGTGGAGGTGTGGGTCTAGACGCCAGTTGTTAAAGTGACTCGGTCAATCCGTCACATCCCTGTTTAAACCTTTTTTTCAGAGATTGTTTTTCTGTTCTTTCTTATTATAAGTGGCTCCTTTGGGGGAGGTGTCTAGATGTCATGAAGCTACCCGATTACAGCGGATCCAAGGCTGCCCCGTACTACACACTAATCTGTAGCTGTGCCGTTTTGCAAGAGCCACTTATGTTCATTCAGGTGCCTTTCCCTTTTATATCTTATTCTAATTTTGTATAAACCAGATTTTTGTTCTTACTTACCAACATTTCCTGTTTTTTTCACACATCCTGTCTTTTCATTATCTAAGTTTCCATTTTATTTCCACATACCGTCAGCGATAAATTGAAATTATGATTGAGGTGTAGAAGCATAGAGTATTATAATTCTTCAGAATGGGAATCCTTAAAAAGTCATCCTAATAGATTTCTCCTATCTGGTATTATTATTATTATTATTATTATTATTATTATTATTATTGCCATTTGGTGCCTGTTGTTGATGCTGTTGGTGTCTATTGCAATCTGACAATTTATAGATGGCAAGATCAATGTTTTAGCCTCACTTGTCCTGCTTCTGCCACATTGAGATGAAGCAGACTTCTTTAATGGTTTTACCATAAAACCA